ATCCAAATTTCTATACAGGCAATAACAGTTATAGTAAAATTTAAAAAAAAGTAACCATTAAATAATAGCATTTTGACCTGAAGACTGACAATCTCTAAACAGAGTTTCCAAAAATATCTTTTGCATTGGAAGCCTCATTTGCAATAAATCATAGACTCTCCTGGTGTGACTGGTTTAAATAACATTCTTTTGAATAGATGGTTCCTCTATGGTTTGTAAGTTATTAAAGTTAAGCACTGTCCCCCAAACCTTCTCCTGGTATCCCAACAAATGCTGAGAGAGATATCTAACTCACATAGCAAGCCAAGGTGCTCTTTCAAACTATTTGCTTGCATTTTCTCAAGTTCCTTTCCTCCATGATCAGCAAAGCTGCCTTGATCCACCTTCTCAGATATGGATCAGTTTCTTCATTTCTTAACCACCCAGTGCCCTCAGCTTGCTTTCTCATTAGGACATACACCACACGGGGGCAGCAGTGAGATGTGGTATGGTGGCATCACGGGGGGCTTGGGTCCTGCCGTTGACTGGCTGGGAGATCCTCTGCTTTGTTTTGTTCTCCAAAATAAGGAGAGTAATTCCCATGTCAGAAAATTATTGTAAAGTTTAAATGAGTTGATATGTAAAGTGCGTAACAGTACCCGGCCCACAGTAAGGGCTCCAAGTATCAGCTATTGTTACTGTGGTATTCTTCCCTGTAATAAACTTACTTCCTTAGAAGCTTACCTTTGTTCCCAACTAGCTTATTGATAGCTATTTGTTTATAAGCATTGTCATGCTTGTTTTTTTATTTTATTTTTTTATTAAGATTATGATAGTTAACAACCGTGTGAAATTACAGTTGTACATCATTATTAGTCATGTTGTAGGTACACCACTTCACCCCTAGTGCCCCCCACCCCCTTTCCCCTAGCAACCACTGTTCAGTTCTCTTTGTCTATATGTTAACTACCACCAATGAGTGGAGTCATACAGAGTTAGTCTTTCCCTGTTTGGCTTATTTCACTCAACATAATACCCTCAAGCTCTGTCCATGTTGTTGTGAATGGGACGACTTTGTCTTTTTTTATGGCTGAGTAGCATTCCATTGTATATATATACCATATCTTCTTTATCCAATCATCAGTTGCTGGGCACTTAGGTTGGTTCCATGACTTGGCTATTGTGAATAATGCTGCAATGAACATAGGGGTGCATGGGACTTTTGGAATTGCTGATTTCAGGTTCTTGGGATAGATGCCCAGTAGTGGGATGGCTGGGTCATAAAGTATTTCTATTTTTAACTTTTTGAGAAATCTCCATACTGTTTTCCATAGTGGCTGCACCAGTTTCCATTCCCACCAACAGTGTACAAGGATTCCTTTTTCTCCACAGCCTCTCCAGCATTTGTGACTCTTGGTTTTAGATATTTTTGCCATTCAAACAGGTATAAGGTAATATCTTAGTGTAGTTTTGATTTCCATTTCCCTGATGATTAGTTATGATGAGCATCTTTTCATGTGTCTGTTGGCCATCCGTATATCTTCTTTGGAGAAATGTCTGTTCATATCCCCTGCCCATTTTGTGATTGGGTTGTTTGATTTTTTGTTGTTGAGCTGTGTGAGTTCTTTATATATTATGGAGATTAGCCCTTTGTTGGATAAATAACTTGTAAATATTTTTTCCCAATTAGTGGGCTGTTTTTTTGTTTCAATCTTGTTTTCCCTTGCCGTGAAGAAGCTCTTTAGTCTGATGAAGTCCCATTTGTTTATTCTTTCTATTGTTTCCCTCATCTGAGGGGTTATGGTGTCCGAAAAGATTCTTTTAAAGCTGACGTCAAAGAGAGTACTGCCTATATTCTCTTCTAGAAGACTTGTTGTTTCAGGCCTAATCTTTAGGTCTTTGATCCATTTTGAGTTTATTTTAGTGAATGGTGAAAAAGAATGGTCGATTTTCATTCTTTTACATGTGGCTGTCCAGTTTTCCCAGCACCACTTGTTGAAGAGACTTTCTTTTCTCCATTGTAGGCCCTCAGCTCCTTTGTCGAAGATTAGCTGTCCATAGATGTGTGGTTTTATTTCTGGGCTTTCAATTCTGTTCCATTGATCTGTGCACCTGTTTTTGTACCAGTACCATGCTGTTTTGATTACTGTAGCTTTGTAGTATGTTTTGAAGTCAGGGATTGTGATGCCTCCATCTTTGTTCTTCTTTCTCAGGATTGCTTTAGCAATTCAGGGTCTTTTGTTGCCCCATATGATTTTTAGGATTCTTTGTTCAATTTCTGTAAACAATGTCATTGGGATTCTGATTGGGATAGTGTTGAATCTGTAGATTGCTTTAGGTGGAATGGACATTTTAACTATGTTTATTCTTTGAATCCATGTGCATGGAATGTCTTTCCATCTCTTTATGTCGTCGTCGATTTCTTTCAAGAAAGTCTTGTCGTTTTTGTTGTATAGATCTTCCACTTCCTTGGTTAAATTTATCCCAAGGTATTTTATTCTTTTTGTTGCGATCGTGAATGGGATTGAATTCTTGAGATCTTTTTCTGTTAGTTCATTGTTAGCATATAAAAATGCTACTGATTTATGTATGTTGATTTTATACCCAGCAACTTTGCTGTAGCTGTTTATTATTTCTAATAGTTTTCCTATGGATTCTTTGGGGTTTTCTATATATAAGGTCATATTGTCTGCAAACAGTGAGAGTTTTACTTCTTCGTTGCCTATTTGGATTCCTTTTATTTCTTTTTCCTGCCAAATTGCTCTGGCCAACACCTCCAGTACTATGTTGAATAAGAGTGGTGAAAGTGGGCACCCTTGTCTTGTTCCTGTTCTGAGAGGGATGGGTTTCAGTTTTTGTCCATTGAGTATGATGTTGGCTGTGGGTTTGTCATATATGGCCTTTATTATGTTGAGGTACTTTCCTTCTATACCTATTTTATTGAGGGTTTTTATCATAAATGGGTGTTGGATCTTGTCGAATGCTTTCTCTGCATCTATTGAGATGATCATGTGGTTTTTGTTTCTCACATTGTTAATGTAGTGAATCACGTTGATTGACTTGTGGGTGTTGAACCATCCCTGTGTCCCTGGTATAAATCCCACTTGATCATGGTGTATAATCTTTATGATGTATTGCTGTGTTCGGTTTGCCAAAATTTTGTTGAGGATTTTTGCATCTATGTTCGTCAGTGATATTGGCCTGTAGTTTTCCTTCTTTGTGTTGTCCTTGTCAGGTTTGGGTGATATTGGCTTCATAGAATGTATTAGAGAGTGCTCTGTCTTCCTCTATTTTCTGGAATAGTTTGAGAAGGATAGGTATTAAATCTTCGTTGAATGTTTGGTAGAATTCTCCAGAGAAGCCATCTGGTCCTGAACTCTTATTTTTGGGGAGGTTTTTGATTACTGTTTCTATTTCTTTACTTGTGATTGGTCTATTCAGATTCTCTATTTCTTCCTGATTCAGTGTGGGGAGGTTGTATGAGTCTAGGAATTTATCCATTTCTTCTAGGTTGTTCAATTTGTTGGCACATAGTTTTTCATAGTATTCTCTTATGATCCTTCGTATTTCTTAGGTATCTGTTGTCATGCTTGTTTTTTAATAAGTTTATCTTTATTCCCAACTAGACATGATGTTCTTGTCTATAAGAGTCATGTTTTCAGATTGAAACTGTTAAAAGATAAACTGAGGCATATCAAAATTTTTTGGAGTTTATTTGAGAAAATATTGATTCAAATCCGACAGCAACTGATCTAGCAGCTGGAAAGGAACTCCAAGGAGCTGTACAAAATGAAAGACTTTCATAGCCAGAGGGGAGCAGGAACAAGGCAGTTATACTCGGAAAAGGAATGGGGTGGTTACTGCAAACATGCTTTCCTCTAGGAGATGGCAGGGGTCTATGAGGCAGATGCCCTAACCAGTGCTGATCAGGCAATTCCTGATTGGCTGGTTTAAGATTCCATTTCTGGGAGCACTGAAACTGTAATTGTCTCCATTTGGTAATGTAGGACTTAGCATAAGTGACTCCACTGTGGGCCTGTTGTCTCGTTTTTAACAGCATCCGCTGTACTACTCAGCATAGCAACTTACACACATATCATAGCAATTGCAGGATAGTCCCTTGAAACTAGTGACTAGAAGCGTAAGTCAGGGAGAGCAGGATTTAAATCTCTATCTGCTATGGCCTGTGATCTGAAAGCACTACTTAAACTCTCCGAATCTTTGATGGCTCAGCAGTGAGTTGGAGTTAATGATGTCCCTCTCCAGGTTTGATGAGCCTTAACTGAGGTAATGAATTAGGAGCCTTCAGCCCAGGGCCTGGCACACCAGCACATCCGCAGTCAATGCTGGTTTTTGTTAGTGATGCTCAGTATGGATGGACACGATGAACAAAGGGATTATTCTGACTATTTTACAATTCTCCACTTTTTCCTATGTCTCTAACATGTGACAACTGAACCGCAGTCCAGCTCTCCACTAGGCTTTGCTGACGTTGTTCTCTAGATGTTTCCATCTATAGATATTGTCTCCATGACAGATTTCTCCATTAACAGGGTACTCTCTTTCTTCTGTTTGTTCGTTTGGTACCCCTAGTTGAGCACAGAGGAGGCACATGGTAGATGCTTAATAAATATTCAAAATTTCACCTTTGAAAACACTAGATCTTTAGCCAAAGTTAGATGACATTTAGGAATCTCACCCAGCCAGTTAATAGATTCGCCAAGACCAAATTTAGAAAAATCCAAACTCTTTCTTCATTCCTGTAGGTGAGAAATGTTTGAATAGATTAAGCTTGTGCTTTGTTTCTCTCATTCGCATTAACTTAGTCATCTGAGAGTTCAATGACCTAAACAAGATTCACCTTGAAAAATGTTTTCTTTCTTTTGTCCGTTCCCTCAAGACGTTAAATTATCTTTACAGGGAAGGAATCTTGCTTTCTTGGTGACATTTACCAGAGTGAACAAACTTTTGAGCTTTGCATTTAAATAGTCTCCTGCTTTGTCTTGTCTCTTCTGACCTAGGCATCGACTGTGCAGTGAGTGTTGGAGACTGTCTATCAAAGCCGTGTCTCCATGATGGGGCCTGGACTGATGGCGTCAATCACTACACCTGTGACTGCCAGAGTGGGTTTTTGGGAACACATTGTGAAACCAATGCAAATGATTGCCTCTCGAATCCTTGTCTTCATGGAAGGTAGCTATTTTTATTTTTGTATTGTTAAATCTAAGACAGCAAATTTAACCCACAATATTTAAGACTTAACATCAAGGGAAAGTTGACAAAGATCATTTTAATTATGCTCTTTCATAAAACAGGAGCCAAGTACAGTTAAGATGACAGATGCTGCCTGTTTTACTTAATGCAATGTACTGGTACATTATCTCTGCCCTTCTTTTATTTCTGCTCATTAGCATAAAGTAATTTTCAATAAATGCGGATTAATTGGACTTTAATATACTTAAAGGTAACCAATCACAGTAATAGAAGTAGCAGGTAGGATGATAAGACATTCTATTATTTGCTCTGTGGAGGGATAATACCACACACTTAGTATTTAAAATGTTCCTAAGTAGACTGGTTCTTTCATCCCCATGTGCGTATAAGGTATTTTGTGACTCTCTTTACATAATAACTCTCCAGCTCATGGGTAGGATATTAGTTTATGCAAATCTCGAGTGGGGTTGTTTCTAGGAGATGCAGGTGGCAAAGAAGACTGGCTCACAGATGCACCGCGCTGCCTCCTGCAGCATCGTCTCTCTCTTCTAGTCGCGCCACTGACTTTGTGAGCAGAGAAGGATGAAGATGAGGGCTCTGCGATGCTTTGGCCACAGCTGACTTCAGTTTCCTACACAAGCCCTAGCCATACTTTGAGCTTTTAGAACTGTTCTTTGTTTCCATTGCCATGGGGAAGAGGGCAAAATGAAAATTGATCTGTTCTTTCAGTCCGGTCACCTTGGAGCACAAGAAACCAGGCTTAGAGTCCGCCTTCTACTGCTCAGGGGAATGTGCATTTTCACCTGAACTGGAAAAGAGAAACTTTAAGTGGTGAAACTCTCTTGAAATTACGCTTTAGTGTCTCACTTATTTAAAAATTTAATTCTTTGTTTCAGATGCGTAGATCTCATTAATGAGTATCAGTGTTTATGTGAGGCAGGATGGACTGGCTCAAGATGTGAGACCAAGATTAATGTAAGTTTTATAATTTTTATTAAATTTGAAGTAATTTGAAAGAAAAATTAAACTCCTTGCTATGGGTTTCAGAGTCATTTCTTCCACGGTTATTGATGATTTAACTCTCTGTCTCTCTCCATTGCTCTTTGCAATTTCTCAGCTGTTCTAAACAAAAGTAAAGCTCACAGCTTCTTTTCACCTTTCCTCCCGTCTCTTGGTATCATAAGCTTTTATAATGTGGAGTCCTCATTAAACTAAATCCTGGAAATGATCATTGTTGAAAGGAGCTCAGAGTCGTGATTCACCATCTGCCTCCCCCTATCTGGTCTTAGGACACACAGCTGTCTGTGGATGTGTAGGGATGAGAGGAGATTTAATTGATCCACATACCACAAGGAGAAAATAAATACTGGACAGATGTGTTAAAAAGTAGGTACATGTAGAGAACCTCAATGCCTATAATACTCTCAGGATCTGTCTTCCAGTCTTCCGAAGTCTGGCGTGATGTGATTGACACATGGTATTTTATGTGGAATGCCTCATCTGTTGAGAAATGGTGGTTAGCTGAAGTTTGAGACCACCCTTAGAGGATGAGAATCTCTTGAGCCTTCCTGGATAATGGGGAGTTCTTCCAGATCCTTTCTGGCTGTCGCTGCCATGGAAAAGGGAGAAAGCATGGGGACCAAAAACAGCCTATGGTATTGTGAGACTATGGATATTTTGTTTACATTCTTTGTGTCTCTCTCCCTCATCAGAAAAATATAGTTCCTACATCACAGTCATCATCTCATGGCACACGTAAGACGTGGTACTTAGTCGTTGGTACTACGGGAGGGGTGATGGGGTGGTTAAGGTATTAAGGAGAAACAGGATTGAACCACTATTTTGCTACTTGCCTGCTGTGTATTCTTGGACAAATTTCTTATATTCTGAAATCATAGTTTAGTTATTCAATGAGGGTAATCATAGTAACTACTTCTTAGGTTGTTACAAGGATTAAATTAGATAATGCATGTAAATCAATTAGCACTTTTTCTGACACACTTTTTGAAAGCTGAATTATTTATTGATATTATGTTGAACTGGGTTCTAAATAGTGAAAGCTATACTTGATGTTGAAAGAAAATGTTGTAATTAATAAATTCCCTGGTGGAGAAAGGATGGGGCATATATCTTTTGTGCTACATTGCATATACTGCCTATGGTAATCTCTAAAACAATGTCTCTTGGTAGTATAAATGTGGCATCCTTATTCTGAATTAAATATGTAAATACGTATTTTCCTTTACATATGAATTTGTTTATATCCATATATATATACCCACACATCCAACATTATTGGGACAATTGTTAAAATTCTACCTGTATGCTCCAAATGTTGTTTCCTAATATTTCTATTTTAACATAAAACTGAACTCATTATCCTCCTTATTGAGTGAATTTTTGTTTCATTTAGTGTATCTTAGGAACCATTCCATCACAACACAGAGTCCTGACTCATTCTATTTAATAGCTACAAAGTGTTCTGAGTAAGTGACGAAGAACCACACTTATTTCATGAGAGGAGGAGCATGCCGGCTTCCCTAGATCCTATTAAATGAATTCATTTTTCAAAGTGTTGACTAGTTTGATGAGGAAACTGTGGCAGGTCATTATTTTGATTTAAATTTTCCCAGATTACAGCGAAGACTGAGCCCTTTCCAGGTGATATTTGCATTTGTATAGCTCTGTTTGTGCCTTGTCTACTCATAGCCTTTGACTAAGAGTAGTTTTCTTTTGGTTCTATTTCTCTTTTTTTTTGGTTTGTATATATTAATTAAAATTATGGATAAAATCCACTAGGTTCTGCAAAATCTCAAATGTTCTCTAGAGCTTGGCCACTCTTGCTTTATAAAACTTGTAATTTGTGAGTTTTCATAATTTTCTTTACCTTTTTCCTTATGCGTCTGAGTTTTCAATTCTGCTTAGAAAGTCCTTTCATATAGCAATATTTAAGTTATGTTCTTATATTCTCATCTACTATAATTTTAGGATTAACCACATTGTTTTTGAAGAATTTTCTTTCTTCTTTCTTTTTTTTTTTTTTTGGTGAAGAAGATTAGCCCTGAACTAACATCTGTTGCCAATCTTTCTCTTTTTCCTTGAGGAAGATTGTTCCTTAGCTAACATCCATGCCAGTCTTCCTCTGTTTTATATGTGGGACACCACTACAGCATGGCCTGATGAGTGGCATGTAGGTCCACACCGAGGGTCCGAACCTGCAAACCCTGGACCCCCAAAGCAGAATACACAAACTTAACCACTATGCCACTGGGCTGGCCCCAAGGATTAACAACATTTTCAATACTTTAACCAATAGTGAATATATTGTTATGATTGATAAAAGGTAGGGATCTAATTTATTTGTTTCCAAAGGTATAATCATTTTTCCCAAGAACTTTCATCAAAACTTCCTCTAAAAAAGTCTGTTCCTTCTCTATTGATTCAGGATACCTCATTTGTCACGCGCTAAATTTCTATATACGCGTCAGTTTTAGGAATACCTATTCTGTTTCTCTGTTTTTTAAAACCTCACTTTACCATTTATATTAATTATTATAGGTCAATAGAATTGTTTTAAAAGTGTCCTTTTTCACTAGTACATTAAGTGCACTCTAAATGCAGTTTTGGTCATTCGTTCTGCAGATATTGAATATTAATATCCATGAGAAACTGACATACAGTAGTTATCAGAGATCTCTCCTATCCCACCACTTCCATTTGGAGATATAGATACAGATGCGTATCTTACTTAGCTGGCCTATTTATTGCAACATTATGTACATTGCAATACCCATGCAACAGCCTCTGAAGGGCATTCGTGGATTGACATGCGAGTCTCTCTTACTAGGCTGAAGAGGCAGGAGCAGTGGAGAAACATGGGCAATACGGATTGAAAAGAAGATTCAGGTCAATACAGAGCAGAGTGTTACATCTGAAGCTCCCTGAAGAGTAAACAAGCAAAGTTTATATTGGGGCTGACTGGGGAAAAATGCCAGCAAACCTTTTTTGTCAATCTGACAATTGAGGCAAGCTTTAAAAAATTAGAATTAATGCTAGAGAAAAACAGATGCATGATTAGGTTTCAAATGGATGCCATGGTTAGTGACAAAATGGAACTACTCTGAGTGTGCACGTTTGAGCACACACACACATACCTACATAAGCAAGTAAAGGAATGGAGGGTGGGGTGACACAGAAAGCAGGAATTTCCCTTTATTTTTGTTTTTGTTTCTTTGGATAAATACTCAGAAGTGAAATTGCTGGACCATATGGTAGTTCTACTTTTAATTTTTTGAGGACCCTCCATACTGTTTTCCATAGTGGCTGCACCAGTTTACATTCCCACCAACAGTGCACAAGGGTTCCCTTTTCTCTACATCCTTGCCAACACTTGTTATTTCTTGTCTTATTGATAATAGCTATTCTTACAGGTGTGAAGTGATATCTCATTGTGGTTTTGATTTGCATTTCCCTGATGATTAGTGATACTGAACATCTTTTTATGTTCCTGTTGGCCATCCGTATGTCTTCTTTAGAATAATGTCTATTCAGATTCACTGCCTATTTTTAAATTGGAATGTTTGTTTTTTTGTTATTGAGTTGTATGATTTCTTTATATATTTTGGATTTTGCCCTCTTATCTGATAGACGATTTGCAAATATTTTCTCCCATTCAGTAGGCTGCCTTTTCATTTTGTTGATGGTTTCCTTTGCTGAGCAGAAGCTTTTCAGTTTGATGTGGTTCCACTTCTTGACTTTTGCTTTTGTTGTCTTTGCTTTTGATGTTAAATCCAAACAGTCATCACCAAGACCGATGTCAAGGATCTTACCATCTATGTTTTCTTCAAGGAGTTTTATGGTTTCAAGTCTTATGTTCGAGTCTTTAATCCCTTTTGAGTTAATTTTTGTGTATGGTGTAAGATGGTGATGCAGTTTCATTCTTTTGCATGTGACTGTCCAATTTTCCCGATACCATTTATTGAAATGACTATCCTTTCCCCTTTGTATAGTCTTGGCTCTTTTGTCGTAAATTAATTGGCTATCTATGCATGGGTTTATATCTTGGCTCTCTATTCTGTTCCATTGATCTATGTATCTGTTTTCATACCAATAGCATACTGTTTTGATTAGCAGAGCTTCATAAAATAGTTTGGTATCAGGGAGCGTGTTGCCTCCAGCTTTGTTCTTTATTCTCAAGATTGCTTTGGCTATTTGTGGTCTTTTGTGGTTCCATACAAATTTTAGGATTATCTGTCCTATTTTTGTGGAAAATGCTGTTGAAATTTTGATAGGGATTGTATTGAATCTGTAGATTGCTTTGGGTAGTATGGACATTTTAACAATATTAATTTTTCCAATCCATGAATATGGAATATCTTTCAATTTATTTCTGTCTTCAGTTTCCTTCATCAATATCTTATAATTTTCAAAGTATAAGACTTTTATCACTTTGGTTAAATTTACTCCTAGGTATTTTATTCCTTTTGGTGCAGTTATGGGATTGTTTTCTTAATATTATTTTTGGTAGTTCATTATTAGTGTATAGAAACACAACTGATTTCTGTTTATTAATTTTATGTCCTGCAACTTTACTGAATTCAGTTATTAGTTCTAATAGTGTTTAGTGAAGCCTTTAGGGTTTTCCATATATAATATCAAGTCATCTTCAAATAATGATAGTTTTACTTCTTTATTTCTAATTTGAATGTCTTTTATTTCTTTTTCTTGCCTAATTGATCTGGCTAGGACTTCCAATACCATGTTGAATAAAAGTGGCAAGAGTGGGCGTTCTTGTCTTGTTCCTGATCTTAGAGGAAAAGCTTTCAGCTTTTCACCATTGAGTATGATGTTAGCAGTGAGGAAAACATATCTTTAAAAAAAGAGATCTCACAAATGGGAATATTTATCACACACAGAGTACCTTGCTTTTTCACTTAGTCTATCATGCAGGTTAATCTACATTAACATATATAGCT